CAACAAGTAGTAAACCCTAATCAAAGACTAAACAAAGCATGAAAATCAATACACTTGTACACAAGCACCCCTAGGGTAAAATCCACTTGGCTGCCTTACAAAAATGACCATATTATGCATGTGAGGTATATTAGCAAAAAACAAGCCAATATACAAGATCATAGTCCCTCGATGACGCTATCTATGTTTCCTTTTCAAAATGATCTTTGTCCCTAAAGAAAAATGCTAAGATACCTTGCAACATTGCTAATCATGGTTATACAATGACCCACGCCCGTCCCGTTTACATCCAAAGATAGGGCTGCTTACCAAATCAATGGTAAGACAACAATGTTAAAGGAAAAGAAAATGAACAAGAAAGACATTTGAGTAGGTAGATTGCTCCTAATTACTTGCTCCATTCCAAAACAAACATCCTTGCTATTTTCAAAACAAACACTTACACTTTCAAAACATCTTACAAACTTGAAAACATTTTCAAAAGATCAACATCTTTGTATACATTCTTACGAACGAGAATCATTACAAAGTTTGCCTAAACAATGGCCTCTTTACAAAATACTTTCAAAAACCTCACAAAGTACAATTTCAAACAAAAGCAAGTGATCTAGAAAGTAAGTAAGAGCCCATGGAAAACCATGGATGAAAAGGGTGCTAATACCTTCCCTTTTCATAATCTACCCCCCGAACTCAAGAAATAATCTCAAAGGTCTTTCCTGTGCTTTTTCACCTTTCCTTTTGGATAAAAGAAAAGTCGGTGGCGACTCTTGCTAACCGCAACATTTGCGATAAAACGCAAAACCTTCAAGTCAGTTCTCCCACCGTATCACACACGTACCAACTCCCAAGCTCAATTGAAAGAAGTAGGAAAGGGTGCAATCGAAGGTTGCTCACGCCAACTCCCAAGCTCAATCGAAGGAAATAAAAAGAAGGGTGAATCGAAGGAATCTACTGCCCGGATCGAAGGACTCATTTCCCCTCTTTATTTTGTTCTTGTTTTTATATTTTCTTGCCTTTCAATTTGGTTATAATAGTGTATGACACTTATTTTCCGCATTTTCTATTGCTTTCATATTAACTGCTAGATGTATGACTAATAGGATTGTATGGAAAATATTAAAATCAAAACGCTAGCAAACCTAACAAAAAAAGACTAAAATAACTGAACATAACACACATTGCACATATACACCTCTAGGGTACCCCCACTTTGGTTGCCTTCGGAAAAATAGTCATATCTCTCGAAACGTGAGAGATTTTAGTGGCTACCCTCCGGTTTAAAGATCATAAGTCCCTCAATGACCCTCTCGACGTTGCCTCAGTATGATCTTAAAAACCATAGGGTAGTTACTAAAGTTTCTTTCCCAGTTGCCTTTGTGACTGTATAAACGTCCCTTCGAATGTCCCTCAAGCGTTCAACGACTAGGGATACCTACTCACTAATAATAGGATAACACTGTCTAAAGGAAAAGAGGAAAAGAACAACCTTTCGAGTAAAGTAGATAGCTGTTAGATGCTTGCTCAAACAATTTTTACACTTACACAAAACTTCTTTCAAAAACATTTTCAAACACTTTGTATACATTCTCTACCATTCCGAGAAACATTACAAAGTTCATCGCACTAAAGCGCTTTCAAAATACTTTTCAAAAACACATAAAGCACAAGGTATTTCAAAATGAGCTAAGCATCTAAGAGCCCATAGAAAACTACGGATGGAAAGGGTGCAAACACCTTCCCTTTCCATAATCTATCCCCCTTACTCAAAAAACCCTCGAAAAGGTCTTTTCTGTTCTTTTCACCCTTTCCTTAATTTGGATAAAAGAAAAGTCGATGACGACTCTTGCTTACCGCAGCATTTGCAAACACAAACACAAAACCAGTATAACAGTCGGTTCTGCCACCGTATCATAGCGATAATACCTCATTTAAACCTCATCTGAGCATGGATGACATGACATCGCTAGATAGATCTACATCCATTAGCCGTCATGTTCCACTTTATTCCTACGTGTTCCTAAGATTTTACAACTCAGGTCTGGGTATTGGGCCTTTTACCTCAATATTAATACCCACCCAACAAGAAACAAGGAATCCAGTATAACAATAATAACCAATATATGGAAAAGCAATAAAAATGCAATGCATACATATGCTCAAATAATTATATACAAATGAACAAGCTATAAAGTACAAAAATAAACACCCAATGAAAACAAAACAACAAAAGCTAAGTTTGACTCCGGGATGGACCAGCAATTGGTCAATTTCTCCCCAGTGACGTCGCCAGCTGAAGCATACGGTCGAACAATCATCAAGAGAAAATAAATGAAGTCACCATTGAACATTTTTTATCCCACCAGAAGGGAAAGGTAAACATCGACTAAACTTGAGAAGGCTGAAATCAAGGTCTTGCGATCAAGAGATACGGGTAAGGGAGTTGATTATGCAATGGGAAGATATTAGAACCCCTCACGTCTGTGGTACTCCACGGGATCCACTCTTATTGTTCTAATCAACTGGTGTGTTCTAATATAAATCTTACAAGCTAAAGAAAAAATGAAAAGAGGGAATGCATGCAAAAGAAAACACGGGGAAAAGAAGGAATATTTACAAAGTTTTGCTCGCTTAGGCCCCACGATCAAATGCCTACGTATGCCTTTAAGGAATCAGAGCACCGTAGTTCGACTCAAAATTTTCTATTTTTTTTTGTGTTTTTTTATGAACAATATTAATCTTGCTTGCTACTGTAGCTCGACCATAGAGACTCACGCATTGGCATAAAAAGGAATTAACATGTTCTACCTGAAGAGGTATTTTCAAAAGAAAAGTTTCTGAAGGTGGAAAATGCTACATTCATGCTCTAGAAATTAGACATGGTGCCACCATACCTTTGGGGATTTACGCGTCGTATTGTGCAGAGTAGAATTGACACATCCTTTTGAGAGTTTCGAAGAAAAGGTCCGAAGGCGGAAAAAGTTTGGATTGGTTGATGTTTTTTACCTTGAAAAAGGATTTTCGATTTGAACCGTAATAAAGTCCAAAGTGAAAATAGAACAAGATTCAATCTAAACTGATTCGCTCTACCCCACAAGACTCAACTGCATACGATTTTCATCTTCAATTATTAAGTGTTTTAGCATTTAAAAAAAAGAGTTTTAGTCTTAGGAATGCAAAAGGGGAAGAAAACCATCTAAGGGAAACTATCTAGATTTATCCCTAATGTTATCATACATTGATGGTCCTATGGTTGAGTTTGAAAAGGAAACACTACATAAGTTAGCATGCATGAATTATGATCCTAAAGTCTAACTTGCATAAAAAATGAAACATCCTAAAGGAACATGCAAAGGTGTAAAGAAAAGCACAAAACAAAATCGAATGCGAGCTAGCACCAAAACAAAGAGTCCAATGGATCTCAAAGTGGGAGTAAGGAAATCTTTCCACTTGATTTTCTCGAGTACTGACATCGAGTAACAACTCGAAGCGTCAATGTTTAAAGAAACGTGAGCTAACATCATCCAAACGAATGATAAAGTATAGGGGTAGGTTACTGATCTTTTTCCATTTTATTTGACCCAATGGACAAGAATAAGTATGGTTCAAAATATCAACGTATGACGCGAGCTAAGAACGACAGAGACTAGAAAGTGCGGGGGTTGATTGCGGACCCACACTTTACCTTACTGCCTTCTTTGAGGACTTTATTGCAAGCACAAAGTAAATGGGAAATGGGATTTTCCTTCGTCGAGGTCTTTTGTACACAATCAAACACAAACATTGCCTCTTTTGAGTTTTTTAAATAAACACAGACATTGCCTCATTTGAGGACTTTAAACAGATTTGCCCACCTAAAATAGGAACTCCCAGACATGCATCTTTATTCATACTTCTCATGACAAGGAAATCAAAAAACAATACGTAAATAAGGAATATAATAAATTCACAATGATACCTAACAGAGAAGGTCTGTTGCCTCTTCGAAGCCACGCAAGCAAAGAGAAAACTCTACAAAAGCTGCTTCACACAAGTGATCAAACGAGTTAGTCTCCAAACATTTCACATCACAAAAGTTGCATCAATACTATCACAAAAATCTTGGCTAAAAATGACAACAAAAGTGATTACTAAACACGAAAAAATAATAGAAAACTCTAATGAAAATTCTAAAGAGGAATCTTAAAATCAATTATCACGCTTCTACTATTTTTGTATCACATTTTCATCAAAATTTTATGCTATCCAAATTAATAAAGAGAGCAAAATTAAGAGAAAACATTAAAAGTAAATCAAAACCACTACACAACGGGGTGAGAAATTGAATCTATAGGTATGCTACAAGCATAAGAAAAAGGCACTAAGCCCATCCACATGAGTCCAATAACAATTTTTTTTGTTTGTTTTGCATCAACCTTTTACTCAAAAGAAATAAAAACGTTGGGCTTAGGGAATTGTTAACAGCAAAGGCCCAGACAACAAACATCTTCAGTCCAATCCGAATATGCTTTTTTATTTATTTATTATCAGTATATTATTATTATTATTATTAAAAATAGTTAAAAGTAAAAAAAGAGAAGAAAAATAGAATGGTGTAGAAACACTGTCGTTTCAGTGCAAAAAAGGGTCTAGAGCTTGATTATTTGTGACGATTCAGCTTCTTATCGAAGAGAATTCATCTCATTCTTCACAAACACGCCGCTCGTGGCCTCTTCTTCTCCGATCACAAACCGCTGTGCCAACGCCATGACCGTCGAAACAACACGCCTCCGTCTTCGTCTGTTCATGATTCGTCCTCATCTTCTGCACAAAATCGCACTGTAATCAACTTCTACCTTATACTCTTCGCTTAATGACGATTGCTTCTTCATCAACGATGCAATTACTCCACTACCTCGAGCCTCATCGTCTCCTTCTGCTTTACAAATCTACAACATCGTCGTAAGGAAAGGTCAGAGACGTCTCAACCTAACACCGCCGTAATTCTTATATTCTTCAAGGATTCAAAGAATTCGACACGAATACGAACCAATCAGTGTGAGCGAGAAAAAGAGAAAGATGCTTACCGACCAGAGATCATCCGGCGCGTCTTCAGACTGGTGGAAAGAGCACATAAACTCGAAGATATTCAAGATAATCAGGTAATAACAAGCATCCAAAAATCTCCTTTTCTTTCTCCTCTTTTACTCTTTTTTTATTCAATTTCTGCTTCTGCTTCTTTTACATTTGCGTTGTTGTTTTGATTTTGTTGTTTCTGTTTGTGATGTCGCGGCTGCGTATCGATGCGTGAGATTGATGAACAAAATTGATGATGTAGATACGTTGTTGCAGAGATAAAGTTGAAGTGTGAGGTTGAAAGATTGAATTGATGATGATGATTGAAGATGAAACATGAATGAGGCAGAGAGTAGAGAGGAACTTCAGTTGCAGAAGATGAGAAAAGGTGAAGATATTTGGTGAGTCTCTTGTGAAAATGAATCGTGAATCTTTGTTCTTGTGATTCTTCTTAAATGTTGAAGAATGATGATGAATGAAGGTGCATAGAAGGCTCATAGATATGAGAGAGTTTTATGTGTTGGTGATTCTCCAGATTGAAGAATAAATCGATTCAATGGTGAGTTTTCTGTTATATAGTTCTGTTAGAGTAGAAAAGTTAGTTAGAGCAAAATAGATCTTGGCCCTCAGATTCTGATTTTCTGTTAGGAGAATGAGTGGTTAGGATTGATCTGATTTTTTGAAAACTTTCTCTGCAAGTTTAACTGATTTTATGCTCACGTTTTTCCTGATATATCATGAGCTGGCAAATTCTGAGCTTTTCTCTTTCTGTACTGTTATGAATTTTCCTGATTATTCATTTTGCTTATCATCTCTTGAATGCTGAGTTGGAATTTGTCACGGTTTCCTCTCTTTCTGATATTTCTGTTCTGAACTGACTCTTCTGAATTTTGGCAGCAAGTTTATTATAATTTCTCGATTCTTATTCTGAATTGTTTTATGTACAGACAGGGTCATGGTTAATTGTTGTTGTGTCTGTTTAATGTGCAGGGCTGTTCTTGGTGAAGTTTTTAATAGGTATGCAAGTTTGGATCAGTTTGGCAAGACTTTTGCAATGATGAATTTGAAGATTGGTAAAGGCTTTTGGAGTATGAAGATGGAGGAAATTGGGTGAAGAGATGTTGTAGGCTTTAGGATTATTTTTAGGTTTCTATGTATAATTAAATGAACTTTTGACATGAGTGGATTTTGATGTAATAACAAAGGTTTCGTAATGGTTGTAAAACTTAATCTTTATAATGAATGAACTTAGAACTCCTTGAACTCAAACGATGCATTATTCAAAATATTCCAATTGCTTTTCCTTTCAAACTGTATTTCCTCTTTTGATTCGATATTTTGTACGGAATGATGATGATTTTGTGATGACAATATAAATGAATGACGATGGATGTGTTAAACCTGACTTGTTGAATGGTGTAGAATGACGTTGAATAATCTTTGAATCAATACTTAAACGAATATTGTGTGAAAACCCTTGAACAATCCTTATGTAAAAACTCTTTCGATTTCATGTTTAAAAGAACATTGAAAAATAATTGAAATCATGAACAAACCTTGCAATCTTGCCTATGCGATCCACACTTCATATCTAAATCTAAATCAACTTCCTCTTGAAGCAAACTTGTCGTTCAAAACTTTAGCTTGCGATCCAAGTCTCAACTGATTAAAGAATATGCCGAAATTCTAACTTGATGGAGTGTAAGATGGATGAATTCACAAATTTTCCTATGCACAAAGACTTTTATCCACACACCTTGAATTGATGAAAGTTAAATGCAACGAGTCTTGACCCAAATGATGAACTCAAGCATATCCATAAGAAAATACACCTTGATTCACAAACTTCTAAGAAAGTCTTACATCTAACTGTTCATCCTTGAGTAAACCAATGGATTGTAATTAGAAGGGCACCTCAGATAAAAACCAAACCAACCCCAAACACAAAGGATTAGAAATCCTAATTCCTTTACTCTTGATGATCATTGATGGAGAATAGGTTTGCAGCTTGATGAAGAAGAATTCCACGATAACCATGAATCAAAAATCCAATTCCATATTTCACTGTTTGCAGAAAAATAACCAGAAGAATCAAATTTTATTGGATATACACAACCAAACACTATGAAACCCTGATATTGCTAGATCATCGATCCTTTGAACCCATGGAACTTGTTTTTGAATAAAATGCTATGTTAATGACCTAATGGAATGTATGCAGATGAATGCAAAAACCTAAGTCAAATAAAAGTATCAATTAGGAGGGAAAATTTTGGGGTGCAACATCCTTAACTTGGGCATTGCCTTCACGAGTCATTCTCAAAGAATCAAATATAGACTTAGTTGAGTCTCTATTTTTTATCTTCTCATACTAAGTATAAGAAATCACATTCAACAAGTTAGTTCTTACTTTATGATGATTCTTTTAATCTTTCTTTTGTTGTTCGTTCATAGATCTCCTCTCGATCTTATTTCCTTTAGCATATGTAAGATGTTCGTAGCCATCGACTACCATATCCCAAAGATCAACATCATGACCTAGAAAGAAACTTTCTAGTCTATCCTTCCAGTAGTAAAATATTTCACCATCAAAGTTAGGAGGTTTATCATTGTTATCTCTATCATTGAGAACAGGCACAAATGCAGTAGGTGGTGGAATAGCCATTATGTTTCTAAAACGTCTGGATCTTTATTTGACACAATTAAGTGTTTGATGACTATCAATACCATAATTTGAGCTATGATGCCAATTGAAGGTGCAATAAACATAAGAAAGGGGGGGGGGGGGTGTATTGGGTGTCTAGAAAAAAAATCTTTTCGAAATCAAACACTTGAAGTTAACACAAGAACAAAAATAAATGAGCACAATTATTTTTATCCTAGTTCACTATTAATGAAGTTATTTCATTCCACCCACCAAGGTGATTTACATTTCTCAACAAGGACTTAATCAACTATAACCAAACCGATTACGGATACAAATAAAGAGTAATTGTCAATGTTCACAACCACAAAGACTAATCGTCAATGTCTTCTTGAAAATTCCGACTAAAGCCCTACTCTTTAAAGAACAATCAACTCACGAATGTATACAAGTTTGTGTGTTTACAAGATTGCTTCTTGAAATAAGATTACACATAAATGAAATATAGATAATAACACAACAATGTTAATAACAAGTTAATGTACAACATTTTGTTGCTAGCAAGTTTATGAACTAATGTTCCTTGCTCTACAAAAGTTTACAAAATATTTACAAAGTAATTTCAGCAACATTTTAGAAAAATGAATCAGCACAAATTTGTTCTTTTCCAATTCATCCAAGTCTTCCTTTTATATCCAAAAAGAAATACGTTGGAGGGTAGAATAGGAATACCAATATTTCTAGCTGTCTTCTTGCAACCATCCGTGTGAATGGTAGACAACATTGTACCAATAATACAATCTTTGCGCCACAAAAACAACATAATGGAAGGAGGTGAACTAGTATTATTTCTCATGCAAATATTTTTGATCTTATCTTCTAATCTTCAGAGACTTTAGAATATATACGAGGTGAAGCATGCTTAGAAAGATAAAAAACCTTGTCTTCAGAGTTTTCAGAACTTGTTCAGCAGAACCCTTTCTTCAGAGTCTTCAACACTTGGTCTTTAGAGTATTTTCTTCAGAACCTTTTATTCAGAATCTTCAAAGCTTGTTCAACATAACCTTGTCTTCAGAGTCTTCATAACTTTGTCTTCATAACTTCATCTTTATAACTGTTGATCTTCAAAATCTTCAGAACTTGTTCAACAGAACCTTGTCTTCAGAATCTTTAGAACCTTGGAGCAAGAGATCTTGGAATCTTCAGAGCTTGAGAACTCTTCAGAAGTTTCACTATCAGAGTTATAGTTAGAAGTGATAAAACTAACATTCATTAGAACAATTGTTTTAGAAGCATTTTAAGCAATAACATACACACTTGTATCTCTTAGTGTGTTGAGTCCAGAATCTTATGACGTCACACGTCAATTCTTCAGAGTCAGAACATATTAGCAAAATCTACACACTAAATAAACCATTAAGGTACTAAATTGTTATCTAATCACCCATGTAATGTTATCATCAAAACTCAAGGCCAGATGTAGAACCAAATCTTGTTTTTACAGACACAATCAATAGATCTATCAAGTACTATTAAGTACATAATGAGCGGCCTTCCTGAAACTGGTGGTATTAAGATTGATAATTCTTGCAAGTATTGTTTTATATTTGCAAAGGATTCTTGGCAATTATCGTTCCACTCAATTTCTTGATTTCTTTTGAGTAACTTGAATATAGGCTCGCAGGTGGCTGTAAGATATGATATGAACCTGGTAATGTAGTTCAATCATACTAGAAAACCATGAACCTCCTTCTCTATTCTTGTAGCTGGAATTTCTTGTATAGCTTTTACTTTGTTAGGGTCGACTTCAATCCCACGCCGACTCACAATAAAACCCAATAACTTGCCTGGACTTACACTGAAGATGCATTTGTTAGGATTCAGCCTTAGTTTAAACTTCCTCAGACGTTTAAATAACTTTTGCAAGTTGATGACGTGATCCTCTTCTGATTGGTATTTAACAATCATATCATCGACATATACTTCAATCTCTTTATGAATCAAGTCATGAAAGAGAGTAGCCATTTCTCTTTGGCATGTTGCCCCTGTGATCTTTAAGCTGAAGGGAGTTACTTTGTAGCAGGAAGTACCCCAAGGTGTCATGAATGTAGTTTTCTCCATGTCTTCAGGTGCCATTTTGATTTGATTATATCCGGAGAAGACATCCATAAAGGAAAATACTGAGAACTGAGTTGTGTTGTCTACCAATATATCAATGTGAGGTAATGAGAAATCATCTTTCAGGCTTGCTTTATTCAAGTCTTGGTAATCCACACACATGCACAATTTACCATCCTTCTTAGATACTGGTACGATGTTAGCAACCCACTGGGTAATTTGAAACTTCCAAGAAACCATCGTCAAACTGTTTGAGGACCTCTTCTCGGATTTTGACGGCCATGTCTGGTCTAGTCCTCTAAAGCTTCTGTCTAATAGGAGGATATTCATCTTTGAGTGGTAACCTATGTACTACAATATTTGTATCCAACCTAATCATGTCTTAGTAAGACAACGCGAAAACGTCTGCATATTCGTGTAAGAGTTTAATCAACTTTTGTTTCACAGTTTCCTCTAGGGCAACGCCTATGTTGACCTTCTTTCTATCTTCCTTGATTCCAAGATTGACGGTCTCTACCGCCTATTCATATGGCCGTATGAACTTTTACTCATGCTTTAGTAGTCTTGCTAACTCTCCAGGGAGTTCACAATCTTCCTCATTTTCCTCGTTGGCTTGGTCACTTGGAAACTCAAAGTCATATTAGACTATAGCAGTGTCGTTATCAATTGGCTCAATTGTGGATCTACATATTTTATCATGTTTTGGGTTTTTTGGAAGGTGGAGTGAAAAGTGCAT